TTGTGGATATTATAAAGTCAAATGAATCTTTAAATGGCAAAATTGTTGATAAATAATCAATAACTGGTTCTTTGACATTCAGTTTTTCTGCAATTTCAGAAAAGCTCATTTCATTATCCATTTTTTGAGATGTAAAAAAATAGGCGAATTATATGGTTAATTTTGTTCCTAATAAAAAGTTCAATTTCAAATTGAATCTTTTAAAAATCTAAAAATATAAATATAGTTTTATACATTAAGATTTTTAATTATGATATCATCTTATATTACTTTATACAAAGCATTAATTTGATCGTATTAAAAGCAATCTTTGATAATCATTTTCAAATTAAAACAATTCCGATATTCCAATATTTTATATAAGCGGACTTAATTGCAATAATCATTACACTTAATTTCAATGAAAACTATTTAATACAATCGGAATATATTTAATATACATTTTAAATAATATAAAATATCATTAAGATTATCATGTCCATTCCTAGTTTCTCCAAAATCTGTAACATGCAAAAATGGTATTATGAAATCATTGCGCATCATATTTTTTATGCGATTCATTTTTGAGAAATTGGTGATAGATTTAAATCTCACAAATTTATAAAACTTTTCGTAAAACGAGATTTTTCAATTTGAAAATTTCAAATATTATTGCCGATAAAGAATTATTTTTTATTGAAAATTTCAATTTAATGTGATAAATAAACTTTTTAAAATTTTGAATTATATATTGAATTTTTTTCAAAAATTTTAAATAGCTATCCACTTTTCTAAAATAACATATAATTAATATTTTGTAAATACGAACATGAATAATATACCCACACTGATTTTTGATATCGGAAGCTATTCAATCAAAGTAGGACTCAATAATGAAGAAAAACCACATCAAATTATGTCAGCTTTTCCAGAAGGAAACACCAATTTCCCAATTTACCAAGAAATTAAAAACGACAGCAAAGTCGATTTTTGTATTCAAAATGGCGAAATTGTTAATAAAGAACGTTTATCTCATATAGTCGAAACAATTTTTGAGGAATATTTTCCTAACCCGGATAATTCTGAACGAGTTGTTTTTAGCAATACTCCATATTCGACAACAAAAACGATAAACAGTTTACTCGAATTCGCATTTGAACTTTTACCTGTACACGAAGTATTAATCAAACCACCCGCTTTTTTTTCACTGACTCCATACTCTCAAGCAACAACATTATGCGTTGATATTGGTCATGATGTTACACATGTTGTCCCAGTTGAAGATGGCTATGTCATTTCACCAGGAATTTTGAAAACTGGTGCTGCTGGTTCAGCAATCGATCTTTTTGTAACTTCTTATCGTAATAAAAATACAGAATTACATAATTGGGGACAGTATTGCGATATTCGTGAATTTAAGCAACAAAATATACAAGTAGCACCAAAATCACTTCATGCTGAAATTAGTGGATCTACAAATAATGATTCAAACTGCGGATATGTATTTGGCGAATTACTTTTTAATCCAAAATTGTTTGAAGCAGCAATTCCAGAAGGACAACAACCAAGCGAACGAATTTCATCTTTAATGGAAACAGATTCACTTCAAAAACTTATATATAATAGTATTCAGTTGTGCGATATGCAAAACAAAGGCGCACTTTGGAACCGTATTATTTTAACTGGCGGATCCTCACAGATTAATGGATTAAAAGAAAGACTTCAATTTGAACTTGAAAAATTATGCCCATCAGGTGCTACACCCAAAGTTACGATTGAAAAGGAACCAACATATGCTTGCTGGAATGGTGCTAAAATTTATGCACAATATTCTGAGCCAGACAGATGGTTTACTAGAGATCAGTATAATGAAGATCCTTCTGGTTCTCACCAAAAGTTCATTCAATATGGATCTCTTCATTATTAAATATGAATATTTTTTTGAATTTACTTCTCTTGTTTATATACTATTTCAAAGTAGCATGAAATTAACATACCAACTTTATTTATTAAAGAGTATTCTGAATTAAATCTCTAAAATATTTAGTAAAAATTGTTTTGAAAAACGATTTCTGAGATAATAAATTTCAACTATATCTACTATTTAGGGGGAAATAAAAAGAATGGAACAAAAAACATATTTGACCAAATTTTCAGATTAGATTTGTTGTTAGTATATTTATATCATTACTTACCACCTAAATTTTAATTAAAAAAACTCAATTTTAAACAATATAAATGAATAAAAATATAACGATTGCTGATTAATAAATATATATTTTAATCAAATAAACTAAAAATTATAAGAGAGACATTAAATTTATTCATACAATTAATTTAAACATATTTGTCAACAAAAAATAAAATGATATTCATAAAATTATTCATAAGCTATTCCTGCTATTTAGCTAAAAAATAATCTGAGATGACAATATTCATCGACGAAGTTAATTAGAATCATTGCAAAATTGGATAAGAAAAAATAGGAAAGAAATTAAAAATAATTTCAGAATTTATTTAAATGTAAAAATTTAGAGGCCCATTGCCTCAAGTGTAATTGTTGAACCGTCAACAATTCCTAATTCAGAAACAAGAGTTTCACCGAGAAGAAGCTTGCCATTGAAGAAAATTTTTGTGAAAGCGGGGGATGTAAAAGCTTCGCAGCAAGCTAATTCTTTCAAGTGATTGCAATCAATGTCTTCATCGCAGATTATATTTTTTGTAACTGTTTGTCCGTCTTTTTTGAATTCAACATGTACAATCATTATCTTAAAATAATGTACTTTTTCATTCAAATTTTTATTGTATCAAAAAGTTCTCAAAGATATCCACTTTTGGTTATCATTTCAAATAAAAATAAAAAGATCAAATAAATAATTCAATATAACTTTAAAAAATACGTGTATAATGTTGCAATTAAAATTATATTTTTATAATAAAATATTAAATATATATTAAGTAAATAATAATAAATTATGACTAACTTGTTGAGATACAACTTAATCATGCTTGGTTAAAAAATCAAATTATAAATAACTCCTTCAGAATAATATTTCATTTTAATATCTTGAAAAATTAAATTAAAAGAATAAACACAATATTATAATATAATTAATTATACCAATTTAAAAAATATTATATTGATTATTTGAATCAAATCTGATAGTATGGCAATAATTGCTTTTGAAAATTGGATAAAATTTAACTGGAGGGGAAAACTATCTTAAGATCAATGGGTATAAAGATTTTGAAAGTTTTTTGCATCTTTATCTCAGTCTTCATCATTTTCATAACTAACTAATGATGATATACCATTATCCTCATCAGAATATATAATGATATGTATACATTCGTTAAATAATATAAAATTATCATTATTTTATATCTATATTTCTTTTCTTTGTAAATAAAGATCTAAACCAAAAATTTTAATATTAGTTGAATTCATTATTTCATTCAAATATAGTTCACCATTTGCTTAAATTTAACTCAAAAACTACTCTGGCAATATGTTTGAAAATTGGAATTATTTCATGAATATATGATTCCAAGATGTATATCAAAGTCCTTTCAGTTTATGCAACATAAGCCGAGTAAGTATTTTGAAAATAATGGATAAAAGTAACTGCTCAACTTGATTATACAAAAAAGATAATTTTGATTTAAGGAATGGAAAAATTTTAAATAACAATAGTTTTAAATAAAATCATAATATAATAACATAATAAAATACATTAACAAATAATTCAACAAAACTAAAAAAAAAAATTGATCAATTAATCAAATAATTGAAGGACTTTTGACGATGTTTTCGATAGCGATGGTGATTTGTGGGAATTTAAAAAAGTGCGTATAGCAAGAAGTGTATCATTTTTCAATTTTGCAAGATCAAAATCGACACTTTTTCCATCAAATGCAATATCATCTTCAAGCGAAATAATTAATTGAGCTACAAGCTTTTTGTCTTTATCATTAAGATCATTTTCCAATTGATTCCTCATTTTAATTAATTCTTGTTCTGAAAGCTCAATTGTTGAACCTGTAATTTGCATTGGTCGAGCTTGGTCTGATATATTTAACTTATCTGGTGCTTCGCCAATTAAATTCGCAAATTCTTGATATGTATGAATAAAAACACTAATCCAGTCATCTGTTTCTAAACATTGCATTTGCTTCGATTTTCTATTAATATAATCGAGAATTGTTTGAGCAGCTCTTTTCTGTATAGAAGTAGCTTTTTTCTTATTCAAAAATCTCTTGAAAAATGTAGTTAAATCATTGAGCCAGTCCTCTTTTGTTTGGTATTGATTGAGTATCAATTTATTTTTGATCTGGCTTAAATTTAATGTATTCTTATGCTTTTTATCGGGATTATTTAAGAAGTATTGATACAAAGGACGCATTTCCAATTTTATCATCATTTCTTGGCATTTTAATAATACTTGTTGATTCATTAATATGACATGCCATATGAAAAATTGAAAATATTAATTTTCGAAAAGAACGCCATGCTTGCCTTTAAACTTTTATTGAAGAACATCAGATATCTGTTAATTAATGTCTCACAATCCTTACCAAATCGATGAATTTGAAATTGATAATTCAAATACAATTGCAATTAATTATTTATCCGAAAAAAAAAAAAAAAAAAAAAAAAAAAACATAATTGACTCAACAAATAGCAACGCAAAATCTTTTTATTCAAATGTGAATAACAAAAAAGGCAAGAATTTTGAATAATTCTAGCGAAAACTTACCAAATCTTCTGATTTCGGTTCATCATCGAATCCTTATCAAATACTTTATGATCATCCATAAATAAAGTTGAATAAAATACTAGAATTATTCATTAACAAGTCACTCATAATTTAGAATAATCATCAAAAACGTTCTTAATCTTCTTTCAGAAGACGAGAAATATGACAATTTATACGGATTTGAAATTGAGCACGAAATTGATTATGTCTCATTGAATTTCTCTAAAATAATTTTACATCCAAAAAGAAAAAAAATCAAAAAAATTCTCCTGGGAGGAATCGAACCTCCTTCTTAGGCTTATTAGACCCATGTCCTAACCAGTGTACTACAAGAGATTGCATTTATTATCTTCACATTATTTTAATGCATTTTTGTTTTATAAGAATTTATGTCAAAAATGTCAAAAATAAGTGCCAAAAGTTTATAGAAGCTGAAGGCTTCATTACTGAGCATTCATTTCACGCTAAATTGAACTTTTTTACTTTAATTATTTAATTAACTGCGTTTATTTTTCAGATCATTTAGATATAGATTGCCTGTTGAGAAAATTGAGAAACTTTCAAACAAAAACAAATAATTGTGTTTTGCATTCAAGTCACTGATTGAAATAATCATTCTAGTCACACATTTAAATGATCTGAAAATGCTGAAGTTGCGCACATCAGTGATTTATTGAGCATCTGCGATGCTGGATGAATGCCATATCCAACTTGAAGATCACTTTCAACTCTGGTGAGACAAGAAATTAATTAATAAAAGAGTGTATCGATTACAGCAAAAATTATTATGATAAAATGATCAACCACATAGGCAATGAAATGAGCATTAAAGGCCTCGTCAAATCAATCAAGTTGAATCTGGTTTTGCACTGAATTATCAGGCGATTCCACACAGTTGTAGCTCAACGTTGAAAGATCATCTGCTCTATCGAATTGTGAAAGAAATAAAGAAAAAATCATCATCAAGATAGATTCCCATCTCTTCTTAAATTAAAAATCTATCAAATATTTAATTAATGGTGTATAAAATAAGACTGATTATATTTTGATAAAAATGAAAAAAAAATTCAGGCTTTTTTAAATAATTTCATGAACACTTCATTCTTGATGAAAGTTATCAATCAAGTCAATGATCTTCTTTTTAGTTGTCATTTCTTTCGGCGTCTTCTTCTGCATGTTTTTCACGTTTATGTTTATTCCGCTCTTTTTCAGGAGCAAATCAACCATTCTCGCGTCATTCTGCATTGCAGCGATGTGCAATGCTGTGTTTCCATTGTCGCAAACAGCGTTTACATCAACATCCTTTCTCTTCAATAGACAAACGGTCGTCTCAACTGAGCCAGACTTGACGGCAAAGTAGAGCGGCGTGTTATTAAAGTAACCTCTCGCGTTAACGTCGAAACCATTCTTTATTAGGAAGCTTACAACGTCAACTTGCTTGTTTTCGCATGCAAGATGAAGGGCGGTGTAATCGTGCTTGTCTTTGGCGTTTCTGTTGATGTCTCTTCTTCTGAGGAGGTGCGAAACGGCTTCAACGCTTCCATTTGCTGCTGCTGTTAAAAGAGCTGTATTTCCGTAAACGTCTTCGGCGTTTATGTCCATTGAAAATGGTGGATTAAGGTATAATTCAATCAGGTCGGGATGATTGTGTCGTGCAGCAACGTGTAATAATGTTGAATTATTATCAAATTGATTTCTTTCATCAAAATCTACAATTTTTTTCACGAGTTTTTGTGAAAATTTTGAGGTGATGTGACTAATGGTCAGTTCACTTCCCTTTTCATTCAATTTTTCTTCCTCGAATTTTTTGGCTTTGGGTGACGATCGTGGAGACATTAAATGATACTCTGTTAAGGCGCGACTATCATTTAGACGCCGGAGAAGATGGGGATCAAATCTTTCGAGTAATTTGGACGATTCAGAACTTTTTTGTGCAATCAATTTCAAACAATCAATACTACCGCATGCTGTACCAATTTGAATTGCATCCATGTTCGACTTCTTTTCGACGCTATTTAAGTCAAGATTATACATTTTCAGCATAAGATCGAGGAATGGTGCATTATTTTGTCTAATTACTTGAAATAGGATTTCATTCAAAGGAGAATTCTTGTAACTCTCTGGACTTGTTGCGCTATTTTCTTTCAAAAAGTTCAGGAAAACTTGGGTTTGGTCAAATTCAATACAGTTCTTGAGAACTTCTAAATCGTTGGCGAAATAATTATTACAAATTGCATTTCTGTGATAAATAATTGCTGCATTTAATGTTTCTTCATATGGTTTATTTAATGGTTCACATGTTTTCATTATTTGGGAGTTTCCACCACATACAGCGTACTTGTACATATTATCATTTTCATCAATTTTAGCTTTGCACATTTGAAGATACAAGAAGCATTTTAATGATCCGAAAAATGCTGCATATTGAAGTAATGTAACATTTTTATTGATATAGGTGCATCTTTCATAGGGGCTTGGATTAATAATCATATTTGGATTCTTACATATTGATTTAAGAGTTTGGACATCATCATTACGAATTGTAACAGCTATTTCTGCCGGATTCACTCCATTTTTAGCCAAGCGTCGTTGTAATTCCCAGTTATTGGCAGAAAGCTTTTCAATGTTTATCTGGTCTGCTGGATATTTTTTGAGAGCTTCATTCAATGTAATTGAATATTGTTTTTCATTATTTATAGCATATTGTATTAGATTAAACGGTAAAGCATTTGTTGAATTTTTATCATTTATATGATTATATTTTAATTTACTGATTTCTGAAAAATCGAGTTTGCCTGCTGACAATAATAATTCAATAATAAATGATATTTCTTGGATGAACTCTGATCCCGATGAATATTTGTTTAATACGTAATTTACAAATACAGGACATAATTTGTTCTTTTTGCAGACAAAATCAACTACGTCTTCGATTTTATTTGGGCGGCCAATACAGTAATTAAAAAGTTGTTTTGATAATTGAATTGGATCGGCTTTTTCAGCAATTTCTGAGTTTGGCGATTTATGTTTCTTTGATTTGGAGTCATTAAATATTTCTTCGATCAATTGTGCATTATTTACAAGAAGAGACGAATCATTTGTTAATAATGTATCGGCTTTTGAATCCAAATAATCATATACAGACAGCATTGACGTTAAAACTGAAATCTGAAGTTCGTTTGCTAATGCTTGAATTAAAGGGAAATTGTCGTTGTTAATTTCGATTGGCTGCCATAAAAAGAATTGTTGAATTGTTGAGCTATAAGAGCCTTTATTGATGTCAAGACTGAGTTTATATTCGTTACTAGTAGGATTCTTTCTGACATATGCTTTGATAACATCACTATAGCAAATGGCGGCTTCTTTTAATATTTCATAGTCTACATCGTTAATAATGAGATGCCAGTTAGGTTTGATTTCAAGGTTATGCTCTCCAATTGAAATAAATGGAGAGAATGAAATCTTGGTGTCGATATTCCATGAAAGCATGAAATATGAAATTTCAACTTTTTAAGAATAAAAGTTGAAAAGATCATATGATATTTTTACTTGAAAAAGTTCAGTTTCGTTTATTACGCAATTCAATATGATTTTTAAAATTTTTTCATCAATTAGATTATTTCTTTTTCATTTGAGCATGCTTAAGCATATAGCATTTTGTTGTTTATTATTTATTAATATAATTGATGAGCAATTGCTAATTATGTTTAAAATAAGATATGCAAATGTATAAATTTTTATATTTAAATAAATAAAAATATTTAATTTCATTTTTTAAACATATATTTATTGTTTATTTTTAATGATTCATTAGAAAATAAAAGATAATAATATATTTTTTTAAAAATTGGTTCACAATTTTTCTGTTATACAAACTTTTTGATAGATGTATTATTTTAATCTTCACAAAAATTCAAATCAAAGATTTTGTAAAATCAGATTGGAAATCTACATTTTTATTTTGGCAGGTTAATTTGGAATAAATATTTTTAGAGTAATGACGTATATTACATTTTCCTTCTTTAAGATTCTTGTTAAAGTGATGTGATGTATCGCTTTCAACTCATCATTTTCATAGCAAAACAAACATCCAATAGAACAATTGAAATCACATTTAAACGAAGTATCTGAAGATGGTGCTGCCTTTTCAGCCGTTATTGGAAGGAGAGAATTGTGCAGATTTGAAAATACACTCAAGAAAGTGAATTTACCTGGATTATAAAATTAATTCGAACAAGTGAATTTATCAGATTCATTATATTGTTTTGAAAACAATTTAATAACATTAATTCCACAAAAATGATCCTGTTCATAATAATGCATGACATAAACCTTATTCAATTTGTTTTCAAAACGATTGCAGTTTGATAGTTCTTCATTCACAAATAAACTGGCTTTTATTGAAAAAGTTTTCTTATCAAAAATCTCTTTATTCAAAAAGCTGTTTTATCAAATATTTGAATAGAGTTTGTTCGTAATATCACCAACAAACTTTGCTATTTTATATTTCTCTTCTTTATATCCTTTGCAAAAAGGTATTCAGGATTTTCAATATTAGAAAACGTAGAGTTACCAACTGAAGTCGCACCGCCTGGAATTGTCATGCCAGTTAAACCACTGCATCCATCAAACGCAGAGTTACCAATGTAAGTCACGCGGCCTGGAATTGTTATGCTAGCTAAATTGCTGCATTCAACCAATAAATAGTCACCAAATGAAGTAACTCTAATTTATATCAACAGTTTTAATATTATCAGAAGGAGAGGTTATGAACTAAAATTAGTCATTTGACCACTGCCTGAGATACTTGCAACTCCTGTAATCGTGACAAATTCGTAATTAACATTGGTCCTACAATTTCCATTTTTCTATTTCATTCATTTTTTATTGGTAATTATCGTCCTCAAGATTTTTTTTTTTTTTTTATCAATTGAGGCTTGAATAAATGCAATGCCTCTTGTTACTTGTGCCTGCGTTTCATTTGATGTAAGTGAATCATTAGTTACTTCAATAAATTCGAGCTTTATTTGGTCGCATTTATCAGATTTTTTCTTACAAAGATAAAACTTTTTGTTATTTATTGATGTGTAAATCTTTAATTTGGTAGGCTCTCCTTTTAATATATAAACATCAGTTTTATTTGTAGTCAATTGAGTTGAGATTGATGGATAGTAAAAAATCATTTCAATTATGACAGGATCAAAGAATTCAACAATAATTTCAAAGTTAATACAATAAAGAAATCGACAATGATACTATATCATGCCTTTAATTGTTAAATAATTTTTTTTTTTTTTTCTGAAAATAATATTAAGATTAAAAGTAATACTATTTTA